TATAACAGCACTTGTATAGATTAGTGTAATCCATCTCAGGCTGCAAGATGTTTTGGATACATCTCTGCCCCAACCATGCTTGGCTGGCCTGATCAGACTTATAAAAATTAAACCCCTTTTAACTGGGAATGTGCAAAATTTGTTCAAGGCAGAACGGTATGTTAGGGAGATCTCTGGAAAAAACTCTTTCCTTCTGAATTAAATTCTATGTCCTAGAAGTGCTTGATGGTATTCTGGGCACAATGTTTTCTGGATTCCATTTCCAGATCAATCATTTTTTGATTCTGTGCAAAAGCTTCCAAGATCATTCTGATTTTTTAGATGGAAATGAACAACTCTGATGATGTTACGAGAGCTTTTCTGCATACTTCAGTATGTTACAGGATCATCATGGATATGAAATATTTCTCTCAGGACTTGTGGGAGGGAGAAGTTGTTGGAAATCCTAAAAAGGGCACTATGTCTAGATGCTAGAAAATTCTTTACCATTTTTTAAACCACAAAGATATACATTTGAATGAATTCCTAAAATATGTATGATTTTACAACCACCACTTCTTTGATTTTTATGTTCCATTAACACAGTATTTCTCAACCTTGACAATTTTAAGGCATGTGGACTTCAACTCCCAGAATTCCACAGCCAGCAATGCTGGCTGTGGAATTCTGGGAGTTGAAGTCCACATGCCTTAAAATTGTCAAGGTTGAGAAACACTGCATTAACACAACTGTTTTGTTTTCTCCCCAATCCTATAAAATACTTTGCTACAAAGAGATTTTAGTTACAAAAGGGGAGGGCAGTTCATGCATATGTCAAGCACATAAGAGTTTCCTCTAACATAGCTCAACTACATATAGTTAAAACCAAAATAGCGCACTAAAGAAGGAAAAAAAATTACTGGCTAACATCCATAACCCCAATTAGATGGGAAGGTTCCCATTTACATTTACGGTAATCATCTGTGCGGGAAAGTTATGCCTTGCAACTATACTTGAATTGCTGCTTACGTAAGAGCCAAACCCAAGGATCTACCCTGCTCAAAGAGCAACAAGATAGGTTCAAGTACTTTTCCATTTCTGTAGTGTTGAAACACATTCATCTGAGTCTTTAGTATAGCATGGTTGCTACTCTTTATTTGAAATCCAAATATGAGTCATCTGAATCAAAGATCCCTCTGCGATTTGCTTAGCGAAGTCAGTGCTAACAAGAATTCCCAAACTACAGACTCTCGGCTCTGTATTTTACCAGAGAAGCAACAGAGCATTCAAAAGAAGCTCTTACATTTCTTCCAATAAAGATACAACTCCATAGCTGCGCATTGCAATGAATCAAGAAATCTAGATGTTGCAGAAGTGAAGCTAGTTCAAAACCTATGTTCCCAAAGCCTTAACTATTAACTAATTCCACCCCCGCCTCACCCCTCGGAAAGCTACCAATTGCTAATGTAGTGCTAGAATCATACAGCTAGAAATATTTTATAAATATTTTAAGAATTTTATAGGCAAACATCTCTACCGAAATCTTTCCAGCCTTTGCCATTCAGCACTGTGGTACAAAAATATTGGTGGTAGAATTTTAATCAATCCAGCAAATGGCTGGATTTAATCAATCCTTGGCCATTACCATTGTTTCCTCAACACAGCATAACTGCATAAAACTATAATCCTCAACATTATTTTGAGGCAGTAAATCCTACAAAATTTGGTATATCTTCAGAACTATACTGAAAATGGACTTTTGGTTCTGCTGAGAGGAGAGCTACCATCTGTGGTGGAATGAAGAACCACCAACTCTTTAGAATTCTTCTCATGACACTTGAGATCATCCACAACTTACTCGTCATGATGTGACTGGAAGACAGTAGTCTCTGTGGGGTGACTGCGAAATGATGGGACGCCCTAACCATGGTTGATGGCTTTATGGACATTAGGTTTGCATACCTCTTTTTCTAATCACTTTTGGAAATTGCTTATTAACTGCTCTTCAGTTATTTGGAACCTTTGGAATGACATGTTTTGTACCTCTCAGTGAGTCTCCTTCAAACTATCGTGAAAGAAATTTTAAATGCAGGTTTAAGGTTTAATTTGGGGGGGGGAGGGATAAGCAGTGAAAGGGTAATTAGAACATTTTTTTCTGGAAAGTTACAAACAGATTAATCATCCAGATAGATTTGAAATAAGATTTTGGGATTAATTAATTACAAGAATCCTTTTTAAAAATTGATAGGATGGGACTTTGAAGGTTAGATAGAATGAACTAAAGACTGATATGAAACGTGGATTTAAAAATGATAGGCTAAAAAATAATACAGATAAAGATGAACAAATGAAACTGTCTTAATTAAATGGGATATAAAAATAATAAACTACAAAAGCAATCTGGACAACTTTCCTACATTGGATTTACAAGAGAGACTGGTTAAAGTTTTGAAGAATTTTGTGAGAACTGGCAAAGAAAAATGAAAAAAAAAAGTTCTAGGACATTATTTAAAAGGATTGAGCACAAATGTTAAAACTAAAAAAAGGAATACAAAGTTGGTTTATTTGATCAAGGCTAAAACAGATATGTTGTTATTTCTAGTAATGCTTAATGGACTTTTGCTAACTAAGACTTGAACAATGAGATTTTAAGAATTTGTTTACAGATAAAAAATGAGATACAAGAAAAAATAATTGCTTAAATAGTTTAAGAGAAGATAAGTTACTAAAATTGTTTATACTTATGTAAATACTTCCATTGTACTTTTCTTTTACTTTACTATATTGTAATTTTTCTTCCATTTGTTTTTTTCTGCACATTCCGTTTTTTTATTTTCTTTTTTTAGTTTATATTAGCTTTTATCTTTTTAATTATTATATTTAATAAAATTACTATTAAGAAACCAGACTGGGAAAGCAAAGAGGCTAAAAGCCTAAAAAAAACACTAAATGATTCTTATGCTTCTGAAATTGCAGTTCTCTGAAAACCTACAAAAATTCCTAACAGTCAAGCAGCTTAGTTTATTTAATTACACGATCAGGCTTTATCTGTGATTCTTTAATGCTCTGAACTTTCACCAAAAAGGCATCAAAAATAACAGTACCATTCTGTCTGAAACAAGCACATACTCATTTGAAAATGAAGCAAGCTGTTGCATCAAACCACAGGATTTTATAGAAGTTTCCACAATGTGGCAACAGCCTCTCGTTTCCACCTGCCCTACTGAATGAACCATTCTAAACAGCAATCATCCTGGCAGATCTAGGCCCTCAAGGCCTCAGCAGAAATAGAAAGCTGCTCTAACAAGATTCTAATATTCAAGTATACAAGCATGATTTCAGCATTAACACAAGGAAGAACCTTTGGTTTGTGCTATCTGGAACAGCCTATGGAGTGTCCTGTTGGAATAAACTGATTAGACTACCTTGGGCCAATCTTTAGACCAAGAAAGTATCCTAAGAGACTGGGGCAAGGACATTTATTTAGAAGCAGGGGTAAAAAACACCAACCCCCAAAACACATAGACATAGCCCACATTCAGGTCTAAATCCATGATGCTACAGACAAAAACTGGAGGCATAATTAAGCCAGTACATTTTTCATTTAGGACTGATTAAAAAGCATCCAGATTTCCACAACTGAATGAACAGACAAAATGGCAGACTCGGCTAGTACGTTTTCACCTAATCTCCTCTTCAGGAGACAACTGAAGTACAAGAAATACTTCCAAGCAACAAGTTTAAGAAAATCAAGTTACCATTTTTTTTAATCAAGCCAACCATCGGTCTTCATCGTTTTAAAAATCACACTGATGGTTCACTCCCCTTTTCGGATTGGAAGGTTGGTTAGAAATTGTTAGGTCCAATACAGAAAAGCTCTTATTATATCATGTCTGAACCGGCCTGCTTATCTTTTTCACTTTTCTGAGTCACGACTAAGTCTTCTAATTTCATGGTTAGAAAGTTATGCCTTTTAAAAGCTATTCAAGCGAAGGAAGTAAAATTTCTCCCTATGGGCATTCCTGACTAAACAAAAGACGAATGTGATGTGTGCCCGCATATTTTCAGTTACTTCATGTCACAACACTAAACGGCTAAATTAACAAATAGGTAACCGCCAATTAACACATTAAACCGAAGAAGGAACGGGAACAGAAAAGATTAACCGGACAAAACGGGGAGGCTGCGGGCCGAATGGCATGCATTTCAAAGGCCAAAACGAAACTCTCCTACAGGGATGATAATTACTTAATGTCTCCGGGACATTACTTTATCGAAGCTCCTATATATAACTCAGAGAACAGTTTGCAACCTGTGGGATTTCTATTTTTTTAAACAGGTCTTTCCAAAAACTAACACGAACCCTCCGCTCCGGAATTCGGAGAATAATTCGATTCTCGCAGCCTTAGGCGCGCCATTCTGACTGGCACATTCGCGAGGCTCTCCACCGATTAAAACCAAGAAAAGAGAGGATATCGCTACGGAATTTCTCGAACGCCTTTCCGGAGATCGTCGGCTGGCCGGCCCGCCCGCCCCCTTCCCACCAGCGATTCGCTGCTTCGCTCTCCGGCAGCCTGTTTGCTCATCGCGAGCCGCCGAGGGTGGAATTATCCGCCCCACAGCAAGATCCTGTTCCGCTTCTACGAGAACCTCGTGTTTGGGGCACATTCTCAGGTCTAGTTTGTTAGGGCGGCGCTTTTAAGCCTTCGCCTTTTCAGTCTCCATGGCAGCGCCTCTCCTCGGTGCAAACGGTGCTGGACGGGAAGGATCGCGGCAGCGGGCCATCCATCTTCAGAAAAAAACCGCGCCCGTTCAGCGGCCGAGCAGGCGGGGGTTGCCCTGGTCGTCGGTACCATTAAAGGAAAGAAACTTCCTTTCTAGCAACAGGCGGTGCTATGGCAGTTCGTACCGCCGAGGTCCATGCTATTACCGCCTTCCGGCTAACAGACGCTACCGAATTCCCGCGGTGTTCCCCGGCCCCAAGCCCGACCCCGTCCTTTTATTTTCCTCACCCCTTTGCTCATGGTGGTGCCTGTCCGCGGTCTTTTCTTGGGCTACTGTCGATCTCCGGGCAGGTGGGGGGGGGCGGCAGATAGAGAAGGAGAGTCTGCCACGTGTGCGCTGCAAGCAAGTGGGAAGCCCGGCTGGAGAACGCTTGTTAGGCCGCCCCCCTCTTCACCGACCGCTTGCCGGAGTGACCGCCGAAGAGCGCCTGGGCCGCATAAACCTAGCCGGCCAGCCTCATCCGCCCCGCCCTTGAACGGTGCTGGCTCCGCCCTGATGGAAAAGAGTGGGTAGGTGGAAGGGCCTCTCGGGCGGTTTACGCCGGTGGAAGGGCCTGGCGAGCTTTGCTGAAGCGGGTTTTCTCGGGTTCCCGCGCCGCCTTTTTCAGGTGCCTGGGAAGGACTTGCTTCCCGCTCCAGTTTCTACATTTGAACGAGATTTGTAACCGTGTAACCAGCTTAAAAGAGAGACCTGTAGGTCTCGATAGTACAAAGTTTATAGGATATTCTAGATGAGCGATTAAAGTCGAGAACAGATTCTAACAAATGTGAAATAGAATGTGAATGTTAGACATTAAACCAGCAAAACATTTGAGATACACTTTTAACTTTATACGAATACACCAGCTTTCTTTTCTTTTATATTGAAACACTAAAAATACAACGATGCAAAAATTTTCATGAAATTTAAACGTCCAGAGAAGTATGTTTTCTCTAGGAATATGAAGGGGCTCTCCAAGTGGGTGTTGTTCATGCGAGCGTGAACGGGGTGACTCCCAAGTTTACGAAACAAATGTGTATATGGAGCCATTTTCATTTTGCAATATTTATTGGTGAGCAATTTGTTTTTCTCAATCCATTCCTATTTTGGAACATTTGATTTATTATAAAATCAGAGTAATTTTTCTTGTCTGTATAAATCTGTCAGTAGGGAGAGAAGAATCAAAGAATTGCATATTTTGCTTAAAACTATGTGCCTTCATCAAATTGTGGGACATTTAAGGATGGTGGGACTTTTTCTTTTGTAGAAGATGTAGATGTCAGAAAACACATTCACTGTCCTAGGAAAAATCTCCTTTGTCCTAATCTATAATTATATAAATAATATACATAACATTTTAAAGGGAACTATTTAAGAGAAAAGTTACTGCATAATGTAAAAAATAAACAGTATGAGAACAGAAATGAGAAGTATAAGCTTTAATTTTCCAGAATGGCATCTATTGTCCCTATTTCCAATCTATATTCCCAGCATGATTGCCAGCTATGACAGCAGTGTTGTGCTTCTGTGGGAAAAAAACTAGAATTCTGTTTCCATCACTTACAGGTTGAAAGAATGCTATGGGAGTGTGTTTGAGAGAGAAATAGAAGGAACAGGAAGGACTTTTGTTTTCTTTATTATACTTTCAAGAAAAGAAAAGAAAACACAATTATAAATATCTTCTATGCCAGGGAAAAAGATTCATAGATTTAATAGGGCAACTTTTAAGATTTATCAAGTCTGCTGACAATTATTTCTTCCTTGTAACCACATATGAAGGAATAGCTGCAAACAACCATCAAAGAAGTACAATCAAAATCCTGAAAGCTTAAAAGCATTTCCTATATCCATCTTTCTAGTCAATGGATATGGCTTGGAAAAGAAATAGTACTTGTTACACTGTTTCTTGATGGGACTGATTTGATTTTCAGGACCAAGGTCTTCATTATCTAAGTCAGTGGTTGCGAACCTATGGCACGGTGCCAGAGGCGGCACTCGGAGCCCTCTCTGTGGGCACACGTGCCATTGCCCCAGCCTTGCCTCCCCCCGTGACCCCCTCCTCACCAGCAGCCCCCCTGAAGGAGAGTCGCCCCCGAACATGGCCCACACGGAGCAGTGCAGCCAAGGACATGGCAGCCAGGCAGCATAGACAAGACTCTGCCTTCACGCCCCATTGCGCACAGTTGATGCTGCGGGGTGTGGGCAGAGGGCATGACTGTCATGGCACTGCTGGTCGATCTGCAGTCCCCGGAGGCGATGAATGGCCCTGCAGGCAGGTGGGGTGGGGGGGCGGAGCTGGGGCAGGGCAGGGGGTGGAATGGGGGTGGGGCCAGTTTTTGGAGGAATATTAAGGGATATGGGCCACATGATCAGGAAGGTTTTGATGTGTTTGAGTAACGTGGTGGAACTAAGGTAATATATGACCGACAATCTTTGCTGGCATGGCGAGTTTCTAGCTGTTTCGGAACTGTTGGTTAGACTTAAAAGTCATTGACGTGGTTTGAAATTGTTCTGCCAGCAGAAGATCTGACTGCTGGCCCAGCGACGGATTCTATTGCAAATCAGGACTGTTTCCAAAGGAGGCAGAGGAGGAGAGGACCCGGGGCTTATGGAGCGAAGGAACAATGAGGCTGTCGGCAGGCCCAGAGGAAGAGAAGAGACTTTTGGTGGCGGTGACAGCGTGCTCCAGGGGCAAAAAGAAGCAAGGCCTCTTTAAGGAAAAGGTGGAACAGTCAGGATCAGAAAAAGGAAAGGAGGTGAGATTGTTATGCAGGAATACAAGCTAATTTGAGGGCTAATCCACGTAGAGCTCTGTTTCTATCTGTCCTGTTTGCCATCGTTCGCTCCCTTGAGACTAAAATGGATGATCTGAAACTTGAGCTGGCCACGAACAAGGAGTGTATATCGGAGGTGGTGACCCTTTGAGAGCTGTATGCAATGAAATTTCATTTTGATGTATGCCGATTGGTGTACATTCAAAGTGACAATAAAGTTGTTGTTATTGTTGTTATTATTATTATAAGGTTCTCCATCACTGATCTAAATGATATGGTACATTACTGATATGAAATGGACTGAACCTCAAACATTATTAGAAGTGTGAGGATGAAGGTTCATTCTCCAAGCTTGTGGGTTGCTTTCCAAATGTTTCGTTACCAGGCTAGGTAACATCTTCAGTGGAGTGTTTGGCCATAGCATGGTAGTTTGATCAAGAGCCTTTTAAAATCATTTCTGAACTTAAGATGAAAACCTGAATCTCAGGCTTGTGCACTATAGAAAGATTTAGACATTTTAGAAGTTGTAGTTTTAGAGTTATAGGACTGGAGGTCTTCTAGTCCAATCCCCTGCCCATGGTAGAAGTCCTTATACTATCCCAGATAAATGAATGTCCAATCCTTTCATGAACATTTCCAGTGATGGAGCACCTAAGAGGCAAACTCTTCCAGTATTTAATTGTTCTCATTGTCAGGAAGTTTATCCTTAGTTTCACATTGGATCTATCTTTAACAAGCTTTCACCCATTGTTTCTTGTCCCACCCTCAGGAATTTTGGAGAATAAGGTGACCCCCCCACACACACACACAAACACACTCACACACTTCTCTATGACAGCTTCTCATGTACTGGAAGACAGCTATCATGTCACTCCTAATTCTTTCACAGAGAAGAGGGGGTCAACCTATTTTCCAAAGCACCAGAAGGCAAGATAAGAAACAATGGAGGGAAACTAATCAAGGAGAGAAGCAAGCTTGAACTAGTGAAAACAATAAACCAGTGGAATGGGTTGCATTCGGAAGTTGTGGGTGCTCCATCACTGGAGGATTTTAAGAAGAGACTTGACAGCCACTTGGAATGGTACACGGATCTCCTGCTCTGCAGGGAGTTGGATTAGATGACCTCCAAGGTCCTTTCCAACTCTTGTTATTTTGTTTCCATTTCTTTTCATTAGGCTAGCCCAGGGGTAGGCAACCTTGGCTGTTTTATGACTCGTGGACTTCAACTCCCAGCTATGCTGGCTCAGAAATTCTGGGAGTTGAAGTCCACGAGTCATAAAAGAGCCAAGGTTGCCTACCCCTGGGCTAGACATACCTAGTTCCCTTAACCCACGGGTCGGCAACCCGCAGCTCCAGAGCCGCATGTGGCTCTTTGAGCCACCTCCTGCGGCTCCGGAGCCTCCTCCGCCATTTTCAGAGAGAGACAGACAGACAGAGAGGCACTTGTGCTTCCCTTCTCTCTCTCTCTCTCTCTCTCTCTCTCTCTCTCTCTCATGCAGATTTGCCCCCTTGCAGAGCTCCTGATTGGCCCTGCAGCCGGGTGCCCTGCCCCCTGGGAGAAGGGCCTTTCTAGGGCTGCCCGGTCCAAGCTGCATGTGGCTGGAGAGCCACACGGGGAAGCCCCGGGATCCATGCTGACAGCAGCCCAGCAGAGCCTCCGTTGAGCAGGCCAGCCCTCCCACAAGCTGCGGCCCTGGTTGGCCAAACAGCAGCAGAGCCAGAGATGGAGGGTGAGTGGAGGGGGGAGAGAGGGGTCTTACCTGCACAGGTGGAGGGGCAGCCGAGCTGGCCTCGGGCTGGGCGGCAGGCCTGGTGGAGCTGGCAGCAGGCAGGGGCATCAGTTTCTGCCCCTCCCCAGGCCGGAAGGTAGGCCCAGCAGGGGCAGTGGCCAGCGGGGGCATCAGTTCCTGCCCCTCCCCGGGCCGCTGAGCCGGCTTGCGTCTTTCCGGGCCAGGTGGCAGTGGTGGCTGGCAGGGGCATCGGTTTCTGGCTGTCCCCGGGCCGCTGAGCTGGCCTCGCGTCTCCCTGGGCCGGGCGGCAGGCAGCAGGGGCATCGGTTTCTGGCTGTCCCCGGGCCGCTGAGCCGGCCTCGCATCTCCCCGGGCCAGGCGGCAGGCCCAGCGCGTGGCGGGGGCATCGGTTCCTGCCCGTCCCCGGGCCGCTGAGCCAGTAAAATCAATGGACTTGGAGGTGCTGCGGCTGGCTTTTCGAGTTGCTGCGGATCTCCATTGACTTCCACGGGGACTCTTAGCAATGAAGGGGCTGATTGAAATCGCTTCAAGAATTGAGCTGCAGGATGGCTTTGAATGGCAGAGACACAGAGAGATGCAACACATCTCCACAGGAGATGCAGCAATGGCAGGAGACGAGGAGGAGTCAGCTATGTCTGTGCACAAGTCCCGAAAGCTTTCTTCCTCTCCCTAATCTTGCCTTTCTTGCTGGCGCTCTGATGTAAGTGTTTGCTGGGTTTCCTCAACCTCCCCCCCCCAATTTTATTTTAATCCCATCATCACCTCCCTCTTTCGCAAAGTTGACATTCCGGGGACTCGGAGCTCGCTTCGCTCTTGGAGTCACTTGGCAAAGTTTGAAGGAGAGGCCGTCTTCTCCCACCTCCCACGGAGCAGAACTGCTGCTTCCTCACCCTCCCAGCAAAAGAACCCCAGAGAGCTGGTAGACGTCCTTTCTCCCACTTCCCATCCTCTCTTTTCTGAGCACCCCTCCGAGAGTGAGCCTCGGAGCCAGAAGCCTCAACTCCAGCCTCCCGCAGCAGTCTGAGATAGGCGAGCCCGAGTGGCCGTCGGCTGCTGCCTTGGAAGATTCACTGCAGCAGTTCTTTCTCCCCGTCAGTCTCCTCCACTGCCTTGGAACCTTCGCGCCAAAAGGCAGAAAGAAGAAAGTCCCAGAGAGGGAGAGCACAGGGCAGGGGGAGAGCAGTCTTTTCCAAAGGGAGGAGAAGCCAGGACGGCAGAGCCGTCCATACCAGAGCTGGATGGGGGGTAGGGCCGGCGCAGGTCTCACCTTAAGCTCCACTCTTTAATCAAGTCCCGTGTTCTGTGTGCGTGCACGCACGCACACATGCGTGTGCACATTTTGCGGCTCCCAGTTTTTTCTTTTGCGAGGGAAACAGGTCCAAGTGGCTCTTTCACTGTTGCAGGTTGCCGACCCCTGCCTTAACCGTTCCTGATAGCTCATTTTAGTTGATCTTCTCTGCATTCTTTTTAGGGTCTCAGCAACTTTTCTGTATTGTGGGGATTGGAACTGTGTTCCAAGTGTGGCCTAGTACAGCATAAAGTTCTGACCTGGACATACTATCATTTGAACCAGTTTTCATGGCATGATAAAAAAGTGGTTTGTAAAGGGATTGAAAGGGTAGGAATGAAGCCAAAAGTAGAAACATGATAAAGGAATATACATTTGAATGAGTTTAATTTTCCAGAGCCAGATGAATTTCATTCTAGGATACTGAAAAGTACTTGCTGATGCTCTAGCACAGTGGTTCTCAACCTGTGGGTCGCGACCCCTTTGGGGGTCGAACGATCATTTCACAGGGGTTGCCTAAGACCAGGGCTTTTTTTCTCATAGAACGCTCAGAACAGGGTTCCGGCAATAATTTTTGATGGATTTTTTTCAACTTTTCCATGAGCTGTGCTACTCCCTTTATTCTATTGGCTTTTGAAAGCCAATAGAATAGACTGTAGGGACCCACCCCACTTTGCACCTTAAGAAGACAGAACTCTTGGAATAATTCTTCCAACAGGCATCCTTTATTAAGAGAAAATGGTTGCAGGCATTCTAGACAGGACTTGGGGTCCAAGCTCTCCCATTCAATGTTTTAAGGGGTTCCCCAGTAGCCCCACCCAATCACCCCCTTCTTCCAGCGACAGTCTCAGGCATTACACTCCCACCCCCTTTTCCTTACTGCCGGCTGGATGGAGACTTCAGAGAGGATTACATGAAAGGTAATAGCCCCATTGTTATGGTTAGTCCTTTTGGTGATATCCACATCCAGTTCCTTTGAAGTGTACCAAAGGAAGTGAGGGCCATAAAGCCCCTTTGTTCACTCCCTTCCCTTCATTGTATGACAGAATCCAGAGAAGGCAGAAATGGTGTTTTCTATAGTTGATAACTAGAGATGAAATATAATTGGATTCTGACATAGACTCTATTGAATAGAACTCTTAATCTATTGGCTTTTGAAAGCCAATAGGAATTGTCCAGGTCTGGTCGTTAATGGCTGTCTCTCCACTGCTGAGTGCACCAAAAGACCCACATGCAAGTTGTCTGCAGCAAAGGCGAGTTTGCAGGAACTTTGCACCCCTCCCTGCTGAGCAACTATGCCATCTCCTACTTGTAAGTAAAAGAGGACCAGTGGTGGAAGGTGGGGAGCAGCACTTAATTATGTCCTGCTGAAAAAGCAGAGTCCATGTGCACTCCTGCCTTGTGCTCACCTGTGTCAGCCAGGCTCTCTGTGTCGCATGCAGCATGTACAGCTTGGCACTGAAGCACGGAAAACATGTGCACACCTGCCTCATCTCACCTCATGCGCCATCGGTGTGCATTGCGGCTGCTGCTGTGGGAACCACAGGGCCCGCTTAACGCAGCAGGGCTGCACGGGACAGGCGGCGGTGGAGGTGGTGCTGGCGGGGCAGCGGTGGATACTGGGTGCGAAGGTGGCACGCGTGGGGCACAGCAGGTGGCTGACCTTCCTTGGGCTGGGCCAGCTAGTGGCCTAGCCGGTGCTGGACCTGTGCCGCCGCTGCCTCACCCTGTGTGCCTACATGGCCGCCCTGGAGCGCCTGGCCTGCAACGCCTCCCAGACTGCTTGTACCCACTCAATAACCTCCACAACAGAGGGTCGGAACTGGTCAAAAGTTCCGCACCTCCAAATCGATCCGCGATCGGACAGAGAGGGAGGGACAGAGAGGGAGGGAGGAAGGAAGAGAGGGAGAGAAAGAGAGACGGAGAGAGAAAGAGAGGGAGAGAGAAAGAAAGAGGGAGAGAGAGATTAAATTAGTAACATGGTTCTTAAGTGAATCTGGTTTCCCCACTAACTTTGCTAGTCAGAAGGTTGCAAAATTACAACAACAACAACAACAACAACAATAATAATAATAATAATAATAATAGTAATAGTAAAGTTGGAAGGGACCTTGGAGGTCATCTAGTCCAACCCCCTGCTCAGGCAGGAAACCCTACACCATTTCGGACAAATGGCTGTCCAGTCTCTTCTTAAAAACTTCCAGTGTTGGAGAATTTACTGCTTCTGGAGGCAGGTTGTTCCATTGGTTAATTGTTCTGTCAGGAAATTTCTTCTTAGTTCTAGGTTCCTTCTCTCCGTGATTAGATTCCACCCATTGCTTCTTGTCCTGCCTTCAGGTGCTTTGGAAAATAGCTTGATTCCCTCTTCTTTATGGCAGCCCCTGAGATATTGGAATACTGCTATCATGTCCACCCTTGTCCTTCTCTTCGTTAAATTAAACATACCCAATTCTAGCAACCGTTCATTATATGTTTTAGCCTCCAGTCCCCTAATCATCTTTGTTGCTCTTCTCTGTACTCTTTCTAGAGTCTCAACATCTTTTTTACATCGTGGTGACCAAAGCTGGATGCAGTATTCCAAGGATGGCCTTACCAAGGCATTGTAGAGTGGCAATAATAATAATAATAATAGTAATAATAATAACAACAACAACACAACAACAACAACGAAAATAATTTTATGGTTGGGGGTCACCACAACATGAGGAACTGTATTAAAGGGTCACGACATTAGGAAGGTTGAGAACCACTCCTCTAGCAAAACATTAATGGATTGTTTAAGGTTTGCTGAAGAATGGGTAAAAATGTTATGAGATGAAAAGGAAGGTTTGGGAAACTAAACATTAGTCAGCTTGATAATCTGTTTCCTAGGGAAAATCCAGAGCAGATCATGAAGTGATTAGTTTATAAATACTTAGTTTTCCAACACCCCAAAATGTAATGTATAGAATAATACAGTTGAGTGATCAGAAAAACAAATTCCGATGGAAAGGGAGAGAAAAACCTCTGAAAAAAACTTCCTTAATTTTCTGTTTTATTATATAAGATCAAGTTAGTTATTTTGTGTTGAGAGTCAGATGTAATATTTACCTTATATTAGCAAATTACTTTCCTTTTTAAATACCCAGAGTCTCTTAGCAGCCATTTTACAATGGTTTTACAACAAGAGCCATTTTAATGATATCCAAAGTTTTTTTTCAAAATTTTTATTTTAAAGATGTTTGGCGTGGGTTCTCCTGATTTGTAATCTACTAACAATTTGCTGAATTCCAGGCTTGTAAAATTGTTTGATGCCAATTTTAGTCAATCCCTCCTTGTGTTTTATACAGTTAAACCACTGGGTATAAGTCTATGTATGTGTGTATTGCTGAGAACAGGAAGTAAATGAAATTTAATTCAAAAGATCCTCCATAATTTTATTCAAAGTTCAAGCAGGATTGGTCATTATATTAAAGCATTGCTACTTTCTGATGTAATTTATTACACATGTTTTTGTTCATTAAATGGATAGAATTTTAATTAGTTTGTGAAGATATAACCATACTTCCTCACTTTTGCATTTGTTAAGATTGTTACATTGTAGATACAGATTTGTTGAGCTTTGTTACATTACAAATAGGCAACTTGGTACTCTCCAGATAACTGGACCACAAGTTCTATATGTTCCAACCATCATGGACAATGTTCAAGGAATTCTAAGAATGGTTGAGCCTAAGTAAGGCACACTGTCTTTCTTCAGTGCTTTGAGCACACAGAGACATGAACCCATTTCCTAAAAATACATGGTAGTCTCCGTGTACATGCTAGAATGTCCATTTTGGAGAAGTTGAAGACTATATTTCACTTGCACTCCCTGTTGCTTCACTCTTATTGAAAATATTCTTTATCAGACCAGAATTGGCCAATTGGGCACTAGGAACCAGTTCTGTGGAGAGAGGTTTTTCCATAGACCAGAGGCGACATGGTTTCATGTGCTATCTGCATTCTGCAGATGGGGTTTCTCTTATTTGCACAGCCCGGTTTCTGGTATGCCACGGACCAGTGCCGGTCCATGGACCCCTGAGCTAAGGTATAAATTATATTGAAAAACAACTAAGAAATATTTGTTTTCTTTAATAGTAATTTACCTTAGAGAACACAGTGTGATTATTTTTAATTCCTTTGGCCAGCCAGCTGTAATTGTACTTTTCTCTTACACCTGGTTGGCTTGTTTTATGAGTTTAATGACATCGCCCAACAAGATAAATCTCCAATTCCATTCCAGGCAGCTTCAAGAAAATATGAAATCATAATGAGAAACAAGGAAGATACAATAGTGAGAAGAGCAAGAATAAACATGCATTACTCCAGAAAAAAACATGGGGGTTCAGAATAATCTTCAAAGGTAGATGGTCAGTATTTGATTTCACCAATTACAGCCATTCGTATACGGACATTTGGCCCATTAGGGCCCAAGGAGCATGAGACTCTTGATCTGTCAGGCTTGAATTGGATTGAGCTGAAGTGGAGGCCAGTTGGAGAACTACTGGCAAGTTTTGACACTGGTGTCACTGATGTCCTTCTCATAGAAGTTAAAATGATCCCATGCCTATCATACTTAGTAAGGCACTAGTCATTTCCATGAGTACCTTCCCAGAGATGGATCAAATCTCACTGTTACTTTATGTATTTCTTTATAAACCTTTGTATATTGCTTTTCTACTTAAAATGTATTCACAACAACCTTTTAATGTATATTATATTGTTTGAATTTGGAGATATTGGTGAAATACATTCACAAAACTCAGAGGAACACTAATTATTAAATATCCTGAAACAATAAGAATGCTGGTAATTAAGCAAATGAATATGGGAAAAATAGAGATCAGCTAAAGCAATTGACTAAGTAAGAAGTTGTGGATAACTTGCATAGTTAGAATGCAATAATGATTCATGGATTGCAGTTGGGTATCACATTGCATTGCAGGAGCCCCAGTCATTCAGATATTGCACTACATCAGTGGTTCTCAACCTTCCTAATGCTGCAACCCTTTAATACAGTTCCTCATGTTGTGGTAACCCCCAACCATAAAATTATTTTCGTTGCTACTTCATAACTGTAATTTTGCAACTTTCTGACTAGCAAAGTTAGTGGGGAAACCAGATTCACTTAAGAACCATGTTACTAATTTAATCTCTCTCTTCCTCTCTCTCTCTCTTTCTCTGTCTCTCCCTCTTTCTCTCTCTCCCTCTATTTCTCTCTCCTCTCTCTCGCTCTCTCTTTCTCCTTCTCTCTCCCTCTTTCTTTCTCTCTCTGTCTCTCTTTCTCTCCCTCTCTTCCTCCCTCCCTCCCTCCCTGTCCGATCGGGGATTGATTTGGAGATGCGGAACTTTTGACCAGTTCCAACCCTCTGTTGTGGAGGTTATTGATTAGGTACAAGCAGTCTGGGGGGCTTGGGTGACCCAGCCAGCCTACAAAGGTTGGAGGAGAACCTGGGACGGAAGTCCATGAAAATCCCGAGCCTCTCTAGCTGCCAAGTAAAGCAAGGGCAAGCAGGCTGGTGCGAGCGAGCAAACGGGCGGCCCACCTGTCTCTTAAGCGCGCCGGCTTCCCCAGGCAAGCGGCGGCTCTCACCTGCCGCTTTCTTCAGTCGGTGGCAATAAAGGTGGGGGCGGGGGTTGGTCCCTCTCCCCGAGTGGCATTAAAAGACAGAATCATCGCCAGGGGAGCGAAAAGGATGAAGCTCGCTCGCCAAGCTCGGAGGGAAGGAGGCTCCCTTGCTTGCTCCGCACAGCCCCACCACCCTCTTGGCCCAGCGCAAGGGGAAGCGGTGAGGCGAAGTAGTGGGCACCACCTTCGCACCCAGCACCCGCTGCTGCCCCGCCAGCACCACCTCCGCTGCCACTTGTCCCATGCAGCCCCGCTGTGTCAATTGGGCCCCGCGGCTCCCACAGCACCAGCCGCACACCACACCGATGGCGCAGAGCTTGCAGTCGCCGAGCCAGACACCAGTGTGGGGCAGCGGGAGGGTGCGGATGGCAGGCAGGCCGAGGCAGCAGCAGCAGCCAGGCGCTCCAGGGCGGCCATGTAGGCACACAGGGTGAGGCAGCGGCGGCACAGGTCCAGCACCGGCTAGGCCACCAGCTGGCCCAGCCCAAGGAAGGTCAGCCACCTGCTGCGCCCCACGCGTGCCACCTTTGCACCCAGCGCCTGCCACTGCCCCGCCAGCACCACCTCCACTGCCACCTGTTCCACGCAGCCCTGCTGTGTCAAGCGGGCCCTGTGGCTCCCACAGCAGCAGCCGCAATGCATACCGATGGCGCACAAGGTGAGCATGAGGCAGGTGTGCACATGTTTTCCGTGCTTCAGTGCCAGGCTCTCCATGCTGCAGCGCGACACAGAGAGCCTGGCTGACACAGGTGAGCATGAGGCACATGGACTCCGCTTTTTCAGCAGGGCATAATTAAGTGCTGCTCCCCACCTCCCACCCCTGGTCCTCTTTTACTTACAAGTACTAGATGGCGTAGTTGCTCAGCAGGGAGAGGTGCAAAGTTCCTGTAAACTCACCTTTGCTGCAGACAACTTGCATGTGGGTCTTTTGATGTGCTCAGCAGTGGAGAGACAGCCATTAACGACCAGGTCTTGACAATTCCTATTAGCTTTCGAAAGCCAATAGATTAAGAGTTCTATTCAATAGAGTCTATTCTATTGGCTTTCGAAAGCCAATAGAATAGAGGGAGTAGCCCCACCCACTAGATTGCCTAAAATGTATACCAATGTCTCCCCTAAATGTTGGAAATGTAATTTGAAAAGTGGAACTTACTATCATATGTGGTGGGAATGCACGCGAGCTTGTGATTTTTGGAACAGGATTAAAATATGGTTGGAAGAAATATTAGAGCAAGCGGTAGAACCAAAACCAGAACTCTTTCTATTAGGTTTAACTACGCAAAAACATGACAAAGGCGTATTTTATTTAATGCTACACATTTTAACGGCTTCCAGGCTGGTTTTTGCTCAAAATTGGAGGAACAAGGAAACCCCAACGGAAGAAGAGATCCTGCATAAAATTCTAATATGTGCTGAGATGGACAGGCTTACAATGATTATGAAAGACAAAACGGAACACGAATACTTCGAAATCTGGGGCAAATTTTACCGCTGGTATGAATTAAGAACTGCTCGGACTTCAAACTAATGGTAGAATTAAAAGATATACATAACTGTACATATAATTGTATATATAATTGTATTGTATAAAAGATGAGGTTTATATAGAGGTTAAGAACAATGTATAAATTTTTTGTACTATGATAGGAACTGATAGAAAAATTCACTCTGGAATGTCATGTTTGTCCATTGTTGTTTTAATTGTATTATGAATAAAAATTAAAAAAAAAAAAAAGAATAGAGGGAGTAGCACAGCTCATGGAAAAGTTGAAAAAATCCATCAAAAATAGGTGCCGGAACCCTGTTCTGAGTGTTCTATGAGAAAAAAAGCCCTGGTCTTAGGCAACCCCTGTGAAACGGTTGTTTGACCCCCAAAGGGGTCGCGACCCACAGATTGAGAACCGCTGCACTAATTTGTAATGTTTTACTTTGGCTTAGCACATAATCTACTGAAGTTTTTAAAGTGCCAATTTACTTTATTTTTACCTTCTTTTAATTAAAAAATGGAAGTTAGCAGGCTGCAAAGCACCAATCTCAAGCATACTATCTGTCTGTGAGTTAAGATGGTAAATGGCATCTGGAATGCTAGAGGATAGAGACATTCAGCAATCTGTCTTTTGGTAAATGGATGTTTTATGATAGGCCAAGGCAACATCATTGAATGTAAGATTGATGGTGATCCCCATCCAGGGGAAGAATCTACTGTTACTGCATTCCCAATAGATGGCCATTCAGCCTCTGTTTAAATGCCTTGAAAGAAAAAGTGTCCACCATCTGATTTACTGTTGAACAACTTTGAGCCGTGCTGGTGCAGTGGTTAGAATGCAGTACTGCAAGCTAACTCACTGCTTACTCCAGCAGTTCAATTCTCACCGGCTCATTGACTCAACCTTCTATCCTTCCGAGGTTGGTAAAATGGAGACCCAGATTGTTGGGGGTCAATAGGCTGATTCTGTAAACCATTTAGAGAGGGCTGTAAAGCATTGTGAAGCGGTATATAAGTGCTATTGCTAATGACTGTCAGAAACTTCTTTCCAATGTCCAATCAAGCTCTATTTCCCTATAATTTAAGTCAATGGTTTGAATAATTCTGCTCTGCAGCATACATGACAGTTTTCAACTATTCAAAGGCAGTTACGTCTCCCCACAGTCTTCCCTTCTCCAAGCTAAACATACCTGATTCTTTAAATCATTCCTTGTAGGGTTTTTTCCCCTAGTTTCCTTATCGTCTTTGACTTTCCTCAGCAAGCTGTTCAATTTGTAAATGTCCTAAAATGTAGCCTCTAAATCTGGATGCAATATTAACAAAGAATGAAAAATAATGATTTTTGTGGATCTTGATACTATAAGCTTGTTGATGCAGCCCACAACTTCATTTATTTTTCTACAGCTGTTTCATGTTATTAATTTATGTTCAGCTGGTGATGTTCCAAGCCTTTTTGCCTGGGCTGCTCCTGTTATCATCACCAGTCCTATTCTGATGCCTTTGATATTTCCTACTTAAGTGCATTTGTCTTTGCTGAAATTTATCTCGCTGGTTTCTTCCCATTCTACCAACTTGTTCCTGAATCTTGACATGGTTCTCTAATGTGTTCACTATCCCCCTATTTTTGTGTTATCCACAAATTTGATAACTATCTTTTCTAGCCTTTCACCCAGTCATTTATAAATATATTGTACAGGGCCTAGAATGAAGCTTGAGATGCAACATTCTATCAGTTTCAAACTTCAATCCTACCAAATAAAATTAAGTAGCCTCTCTTTTTACCTTCTATATGTGTCTTATTCTTCCCATCCGTTTTTATTTTGAATATACTTATATAAAGATATATTTTGCTATTCATGGCAGTCTGAACTGTGGCTTTCCAGATTCCACTCCCACAGTTTTGAGCTATCTGTATGTAGCCCTGTGCTGATCCTGTGTTCTAGATGCTGTCCTACTTGGTTGTCCTTCTGTACCCTACATATATGTCCTTTTTGTGTATGTTAGTTTTCAAATCTTCACTGAGCTTTTCATGTGGTTATTTTAGGTTCTTCTGCTGTTTTCTGTTTCTTTTCTCACTGAAATTATTTGCAGTTGTGCATTTAGCATCATTGCTTTTAGGAACTCTGATTCATACTGAACTCTTCTCGTTAGTTTTCCAAGTGAGCTAGTTTCCTAGCTAGAAAAGAAGAAATTTATTGATCTGTTTTATCAAAATCTATTTTTTTAAAAAATCCAAAATACTCAAAGCTTTATTTTCTACTAAAATCAGGAATTCCAAAACTATACATTATAGCTCTAGAACAGTGGTTCTCAACCTGTGGGTCGCGACCCCATTTGGGGTCGAACGACTATTTCACGGGGGTCGCCAAACAACGCCATTTTTCCCCCTTTTCCTTAGCTGTGCTTTTGAAAGCCAATAGAATAGACTCTGTTGAATAGAGTCCAATTCTATTGGTTTTCAAAAGCCAGTAGGAATTGTCCAGGCTGTCTCTGCCCTGCTGAGCCCGCCAAAAGCCCCGTCTGCAAACGGCGCTGCAAGTTGTCTGCAGCGAAGGCGAGCTGTCTGGAAGCTTCCACCCCTTCCTGCTGAGCAACTACTAAAAATGTAAGTAAAAGAGGGCCAGGGGTGGGAGGTGGGAGGCCAGCGGGCGCAGGGAGGGTTGCTGGCACGCGTGGGGCCCGGCGGGTGCCTTACCTCCCTTGGGCTGGGCCAGCTGGTGGCCCAGCCGGTGGTCACTCTGCTCCGTCTCTGCCGCTTGCCAGCTATGCCTAGGCTGGCACAGGGGGCGGCACCACGCATGCACGGCGCTCCCAGGCAGGGAAAGTCCTCGACTTACGACCAGTTGGATAGTCCCCGACTTACGACCGGTTTAGTCCTCGACTTATGACTGGTTGTTTAGTCCTCAACTTACGACCAGTTGGGGGTCACGGCATTAAAAAGGTTGAGAACCACTGCTTAGAGCATACTAGAAT